CAGCACTCCCTCCCACCCCAGCTGGGGGAGAGGCTGGGGTCTTGACCCTGACCCAGCCTGGACTTACTGCAGCCAGGGGACAATGTGCCTTTCTCCCTCCCTTCCCATGACCAAGCCTTGCCGGAGCTTCCACAGCTAGGAAGAGGGACCCCACTTCTGGCCTCAAGCTACTGCAGAGAGATATCCCAAGGCACCCTGCATCCCAAAGGCCCCAGTCCTACCCCAAAGCATCCACTCCTGCCAGAGCCTTCCCCATTCCATCCCTCTGCTCTTGCCCTGAGCCCCTCAGCCCTACTTTTGTGCCACACCATCAATGTGCAGAATTAATGTTATGTGCACAAATATGGAGGGGATGTGTCACACAGCCAACTTAGGCCACCTTATACTACTCAGAAGTATTAATTTTTCACACCTCTGAGCATATAGATATGACTTATTTTTTAGTGTAGACCAAACCTTACTATTCCAAACTCAAGAACACCAAATTAATTTATATCTCTGTACATCCACATCACACTTAAATCATAGTTACGATAAAGTGAGACTTTGCCCAAAGGCTTGACACCAATTGAGTGTTTCTTGTAACTGACAATAACATCAGTATTTAAATGATTTCAAGCAACAGCTAATCAAGGTGAATGGTGAGTGCAAAAGGTATGAGAAAATAATGTTTGAGAAGCAGTTAAGATCCATCATGTTAAAAAGCTAAATCCTTAGCAGTACCTACAAAGAAAAGGTGGTTTGAATTAGTGTCAATTCATAAACTAAAATGTAAGCATTAGCATATTAAGGACCTGTCATAACTGTCAGTTTAAAAAGTACCAAGAAAAGTTCATACTTAGTCTGAAAGGAGAGCCAAATTCTATTTTTAATTATAGTCCACCAGCCAGGTTAGAGATTCAGAGTTACATTATATACTCAATTTATGGCACAACTCCAGATTATAGCTATTTATTAAGTAGACCCTACTGGTACACTCAGCATCAACAACAGGAAAACATGCTTAGCATTTGTATTGCCAGTTATCCTGAATTTCCATTCATACCTATGCATGTACAAACATGCCTTTTTTTCCTCTGCATTTCCTGTTACAATGGCTGACAATTCCTACCCTCTAGGAGTACAACTTCACAACAAACGAACGTGTAATCGTAACGTAGGAAAGCACTCTCACCAACTTTAATCTAGTTAGCTCAGATAACATTGGTAGCGAAGATGTCGCTGTATGGGCTTCAGCGTGGGCTAAGGGCCCTAATACAAGCTCACCAAGGAACCTGCGTACAGACTTGGGGGTGCCTACGTTGAACCAAGCATCTTCACTCCTCAGCCCCTGCACTGGCTAGAATAAAACTTTAACAGATATAACTACCCTTACTATGGTCAAACCTTCATTTGCTGTTATTCAATTCCACTCCCTTTCACACTAGTGTGATAAACATTGGTTTTATAAAAGGGAAATCATGCTTCAATCTATTAGAATTCTTTCAAGGGAATCAACAGGCATGCAAACAAGACTCAGGGTGATCCAGTGGATATAACGTACTTAGATTTTTAAAAAGCCTTTGACAGGGTACCTCACCAAAGGCTCTTAAGTTAAGTAAACTGTTATGGAATAAGAGGGAAGGTCCTCTCCTAAAACACTAACTGGTTAAAAGACAGAAAAAGCTACCCATGTTGGGAATCTATATTGCTTCAATGTAAATCCATAATATGCCCACATCTGGTCAGTTTCAGCAGCGGCTGACTTGGGCATGCCGGGGGCAGAGCAGCTGGGGCGCTGCCGGATTGGTCCGGTAGCGTTGATTCTCGGCGCTTCTTGCTCTGCCTCAGGCATCCCCAAGTAAGCCGCTGCTAAAACTGACCAGCGGCTAACTTGAGGAAGCCGGGGGCAGAGCAGCTCCAATGGTCTGGCTGCCCGGAGCACTTCCGGGTTCCTGATGGTGCCGGACCATCAGGAGTGCCGGACCATCAGATGCCGGACCAATGGAGTTTTACTGTATCGGGACTCCTGACAATGTGATTTGAGCCTAATCTTTATATCTGTCATTTTCCATTATATACCCAATAATACTCTCATGGTCTACTGTGCACTTACTGCAATTCCCACAGACACATCCAATAAGAAGTAGTCATTTTTATTCAATTACTGTAGAGAAACTTGCTATATTTGTCTTAAACTCCTATGTACATTTGTTCTGGTTACAGGCTGCAACAAAGTACCTGAGCAACAAAATTACACAAGTAATATTTTATTTAATTGTACTATTAGAATGATTTACATGATTTTACATTAGAAAAACAAATCACATTATAAAACTTCCAAATGACATGACAGAGCCAAAAATCAGAAGACTGATCCAAGGAAAACTGAAAAGTATGGTCTCTAAGCACTGAAAACCAAATAAAATACCAAATGAGCATAACATTCCTATAAAGCATTAGCTAGAACCACAGCAGTATCTTGATACTAACTCAAAGTACTACCACAGAGATGCTTTACACAGCAATACTACTAGCACAAACTAGAGATGTAGAATTGTGGTTAATCAGTAAACTTGTTAAACAAAATGTTTAACACAGCTTGCCTGGATCTGGCCCTTGAGACTTGGAGCTCGGCCTCAGAATTGGTATAGAAGGGTACAGCTTGCTCAGGAAGGACAGGCAGGGAAAAAAGGGAGGAGGTGTTGCTTTACATATTAAAAATTAATACGCTTGGACTGAGGTGGAGATGGACACAGAAGACAGATTTGTTGAGAGTCTCTGGGTTAGGTTAAAAGGGGTAAAAAACAAAGGTGATGTCATGCTATGGGTCTACTACAGACCACCTATCCAGGCAGAAGAGGTGGGTGAGGCTTTTTTAAAAAACAGCGAACAAAATCATCCATAGCGCATGATTTGGTGGTGATGGGGGACTTCAACTACCCAGACATCTGTTGAGAAACCAACACAGCAGGGCACAGATTATCCAAAACATTCTCGGACTGCATGGAGACAATTTTTTATTTCAGAAGATGGAGAAAGCTACAAGGGGGAAAGCTGTTCTTGATCTGACTTTAACAAATAGGGAGGAACTGGTTGAAATTTGAAGTGGAAGGCAGCTTGGGCAAAAGTGACCATGGAATCATAGGCTAGGTCTACACTGGTAGCTTCTTGTGCAAAAACTCTTCCACAAGAGAGCGTCTACACAGGCATGTGCTTTTGCATAAGAGATGTGTTTTTGCGCAAGAGCATCCATGGCAGTGTAGACGCTCTCTTGCGCAAGAAAGCTCTGATGGCCATTTTAACCATAGGGGCTTCTTGCGCAAGAAATTCATGTTACCTGTCTACACTGGCCTCTTCTGGAAGAGCTCTTGCACAAGAAGGCTTATTCCTTGTGGGGAGAGGAACAACTCTTCCAGAAGAAGCCAGGTTTACAACGCTGTACTGTAAATGTACTTCTGGAAAAACGCTCGTGCAGTGTAGATAGCTGGCAAGTTTTGCAGAGGTACGGCTGTTCTTCCGCAAGAAGCTGCCAGTGTAGACGTAGCCATAGAGTTCATGATTCTAAGGAATGGTAAAAGGAAGAACAGCAAAATAGAGACAACGGATTTCAGGAAGGCAGATTTTGGTAAAAACTCAAGAGAGCTGGTAGGTAAGGTCCCATGGGAAGCAAGACTAAGAAGAAAATTAACTGAAGAGAGTTGGCAGTTTTTTCAAGGGTGTGATGGGCCAGCAGCGGCCTGCACTGGAACGGGGGCAGGCAGCAGCTCCAGCCCCGGCAGAAAGCCCGGGAGGGGCTGCCCCACTAGCGCGTGGCTGGGACGCTACGTCCGCCGAGCACCAGGCAGTTAGTCCGGACTTGTAAAGTTAAAAAATGGCGACCGGCCGGGAAGATGCAAATCAAGTGAGGGATATTTAAATCCCGGGCTTGATTTGCAACTTTGAATGCCTACATTAGCCTCCCTAGTTCAAACTACGGGGCTAGTGTAGACATACTCATAGTGAATGCTAGTGGAAATGGGGTAGGTTTAGAAGTTAAAATTAAAAAAGAACAAGTTAAAAATTACTTAGAAAAAGTCAGATGTCTGCTAGTCAACAGGGCCTGATGAAATACATCCTAGAATACTCAAAGAGCTAATAGAGGACGTATCTGAGCCTTTTGCTATCATCTTCGAAAAATTATGGAAGTTGGGAGAGATTCCAGAAGACTGGAAATGGGCAAATATAGTGCCCATCAATAAAAAGGGAAATAAGAACAACCCAGGAAACTACAGACAAGCAGTTTAACTTCTGTACCAGGGAAGATAATGGAGCAAGTAATTAAGGAATCCATCTGCGAACATCTGGAAGATAATAAGGAAATAGGTAGCAGTCAGCATAGATTTGTAAAGAACAAATCATGTCAAACCAATCTAATAGCTTTCTTTCATAGGGTATCAAGCCTTGTGGATAAGGGAGAAGCAGTGGTTAGTGCAGGAGTGGGAAACCTTTTTTGGACCAGAGGGCCTCTGACCCACAGAAAAAAAATCAGTCAGGGGCTACTTACAACTGAGAAGCCACTGGCTGACAATGAGAAAAATAATTCCCACATTTCCCTTGCACACCAGAGCCTGGGAGGCGGGGAAGGGGGGCAGGCTAGCAGATTTTGTGCACTCCAGCCCTGTGGGTGGTTGTCGGGGGGCTGGAGCGCCAACATGGGCTCCCCAATGCTGAGCCTTGGGGGCCAGTTCCAGGCAAGCCATGGCCTGGAGGTTCTCCACTATTGAATTAGAGCTACATGTCCAGTGGCAAGTAAAACAATTGAGTCCTACCTGTAGTGAAATTAAACTAAAAAAATAAATTTCCTGGTCTTTGCACACAAACAGCTGCTAAAAGTACCACAGGACTCAAGGATTCCTCGTTAACTCTTCCCCTGCAGTGAAACTAATATAGAAAAGCAAAGAGGCCTCAGTGCAAGCAAGTCCTACTGATACCATGTATACCAAAAAGGGAGTAGGTAAGGGTGAACTCCAATGACTTACCGACATTCGGTGCTTGTATCATGCCAGTTTGTAGTACATGTGTGGTAGCAATGTGACAGCAGTGCTGAAAGCTGATATCACATTGTTATTATGATTTCACACTCAGGATTCTAATTATACATCTTTTCAGAACACACGCATCACGGGCATAGCAATGAACCAGAAAAAGATGGCATGACCATTTTGATTACAGCTTCTTGGATGTGTGCATTGGAAAAAACTGCTTAAGTATGATCTTACAGGGCTTTTTAGCTACTGAGAGGAATAGTTAAATTTATTTCAGTTTACTTATTTAAGCTATTTACTTGCTTTTCAGTACTCTCCTTAGTTCCATTGTCCAAACTAGTCTCTAGATTTCCAAAAACACAAGGCAAATGTTAATTTACATTAAAAAGACACATTATTTATACTGAACTTTGTTTTCCATGACTGTACCAGATGCTGGCTTGAAAACCAAAGAGATGGCAACACTCTACTTATCTAATAGACACACGCAATACAAGTTGCACTACAGGTTGTACCCCCCTTAACCAGGACTCTGTAGTCCAGCAGGACCACAGACATTCCTGGACATGGATTCCAGCTATAAGGAGGTTGGGCCACAGGGCAGGAGCAGAGGGGGATGGGAGAGGTGTGACTCAGCCAGGAGCCCCATGTTGAGAGACGGAGTTCTGGCCTCTGCTGCTGGGCACTAGTGGGGGGCTGGCAGTGGCCACAGAGTCCTAGGAGCCTCAGCAGCCCCAGAGACTCCAGGGCTTGGCTGGAGTCCTAGGCAGGTGCAACGCAGGCTGTGTTAGGAGGGTCTTCCCTCATTCAGCAAATCCCTTTGTTCAGGACCTGCCAGGTCCCAAAGGGGCAGGACAAGGGAGGTACAACCTGTAGTGAGAACAAGCCCCTCCAATATACCACCAACTGATGCACAGTTGCCAATTGACTTGATATAGGACTCTTCACAAGATCACAGTCAAACAGGAATTTGACAAGTTCACAAAACAAACACTGTTTCTGCTATCACAAGCTAAAAACCATGATTTACCTGGTCTACACATCGCAAACTGTTTTAAAAATCAAATGTGGACAAAGCTCAAAGATGCCAGTTAGTCCAAGCTGTGATGTGGACACCTATCTACTTTAAACAAAGCTCAGAAGTAACAACTTAGGGTATGTCTAAATTTAAACTACCACTGTGTGTAGTTGCAGCTGTGCTCCTGTAGCACTTCAGCATAGGCACTACTTACAGAGATCAGAGGGGCTCTCCCATCAGCATAAATAATTCAACTCCCAGAAAGATGTAAATAAGACAATGGGTTAATTCTTCCATTGATATAGCACCTTTTTACATGGCATAGCTATGTTTCTCAGGTGTGGATTTTTCACACCCTTGAGATACATAGCTATGTCCCATGGTGCAGGACCAATCCTTATTTTATATAATAGCCAGATGGTAAAACTTTTAGTCATTACTGAGGCTTGATTCAAAACTGGTAACTCAGGAGTGAATGACTCCATTATCTCATTACTAGTATCTTGAGACACTTCCCTTTCATCTAATTATTATTAAAAAACAGACATGCAGACATTAGAATCACATTAGATCTTTTGAAAGGCACCGCCCCATGGCTATTAGCCATACTCTAATCCAGTGTTTCTCAATGATCAGTCAATGGAATGGCATATCTCCCTGAAATTTCATTGACAAAATATAGGAAAGCAGCAAGCCAGTCCTCGGTATCAAAGAAGTTGAGAAACACTGCTCTAAACTTACATCATAGACAAACTATTTGTCCATATATTTTTTAATCAAATGTGCTCTTTGAAGACTACTTTCCCTCTGATATTTTGAATAAGAG